TGAGACATCACATCTGTAGCCTGTCTGAAAAAGGTCCTACAGAGCTATTCATGCAGAACTTTTTGGACATATGTAGAGCGTACAAATGACTAGATAGCACCTTACTGACATTATGAAGTGTAAAGGAGAATGGGTTCAGCTTTTGAATGAACCAAAAGTTGAGTTATTTGGAGCAGAATTGCAAAAGTTATCAAAGTTTTTAGACCACAAAATATTGTCTTCATAATCATGACCCAAATTTCAGGTATTGTTACATGTGGGTTTTTGATGATTTTCAGCCTTTATTGTTAGTACATTAACCAATATCTGCGTGTAAAATACAAAAAAATACTCATCATGAAGCCTCAACATCTAGGAACAAGGTGCATATTTTTTCAGATTTTTAGCTCTATTCCTGTTGCCTCAGGACTTTTCTATGTCAGTAGTTTTCTTTACCGCCCGGTAAAGATTACATTTGGTGTAGTGTTAGGGAGTTACAGGGTGACGGGGTAGATATGCCACATGATGGAATAGCTAGGTTTCATTATTCCTGGTCAGCAAAGGCTACATCTGGTAGGGACAGGGCTATCGAAATCGCCAATGCTCACGTTTATGTGGTGCAAATGCTTAGACAATTCAAATCAAGTCTTCTCCGTTTGTGGAAGTCTCAAAATCCACCCGATAATTACCTAGCTCAACAATTCGGCGAATGGTTTATCCGGGCAGCGGCGTTACACGTAATTTCATTCTTCATATCTAAGAGTTGTAGAATGCTGATGTCGCTATTTCCATTAGGTTCCACGGGTTTCTTTAATGCAATCTATAGGACCTATTGATGTGGATATCCCTCGTTGGATGTTATGTGAAACGTCTCATAGCACTATTCCGACTCGTTACGTCTATCCCTCGTGTTTCCGGGACAACTGTGCTGCTTCTGACCCTTGGAAGAAGTTGATATTCGCGTTTGTACACTACGCTTACCAAGAAACTCAAGGTGGAACTTTGATAGGCCAGATTGACTGTGATACGTGGGGTTCCATTTCGAATATATTGTGCTTTAATAAAGGGTGTGTTGCACTTTGTTTGTATCACTTCACACCACCGTGTAGTATAGAAATTGACTCAGCTGACGAATCATTCAACTTATACTTGCTGTTCAGCTCATATTATTTAGAAAACAGTGACAGAATGGACATGCCATTCTTTGATTTTCGAGGTGGCCATGTATGTAATGAAATTTGCAAAGAGATGGAACTAGTTGCGGTGAAATTATGATGATGTATGTTACATTTTGTGACGCCATATTCACCTTTACTCGTTTGTTGTTGCTTTATTTTTCTATAACTCTACTTTATCATTTTCATACACATCAACGTAAAACTCGTGTTGTTTTATTGGACACTACTTAATGCATCCTCTTTTTGTTAATTTTTTCTATCTAATTTCCATTGGTCACTCCAATGCAACGTATGTGAAGCTCAGCTCACTCCATGACGTTGTAGTTGTAGAAAATTTGATGTTGAATTTATTCTTAACCATCAACCAGCAAACATTCATATACAAAATCGAACATATGATAGACAATCATGAAAGGTAATATAAAATTTAAATTAATGAGTGTCATTGAATCATTGGTAGAGATAAATAAAAAATGATAGAGAGATACAACATAAAACATAAGATAGTGCGCGCTACAAATCACTAATGTGTTACACAACCTGCTTCAGGGGAAGTGTCAAAATTGCCCAAAAAAAGTACATTGTTACGAGATTCCAACTTCTCCATGAGGCGATTGTTGTGGAGACGTATCATTTCATCTAAAAAAAAATTGTATCGGATGTGTCCCATGTTTTGGCACATCGCGTCAAAACGTCCAAACCATGCGTTGGTGATTTCGGCAGCCGAAGCATTGAATCTCCAGCTACCATCTGGCCTTTTCAGCTCAGGAAAAAGATGCGGGTCGTTGTTGAGTCGGCATGTAGTGTGCGACTCTTTGTGCGACTTGATGTGAAACGTATCGACAGGCAACATTGTGTCCTTGAAATCTTCCGCGTCTAACGGGTTGGCGCGTATGTGAGAGTAAAGGCCACAAGCATTGTCATAAAATACAATCTGTGGCATGTTATTCGGAAAGGTCTCGCGTATGAACTCCTGGTAAGCGTTCGATTGCGTCAATAGAGGAGCAAGATGGTACAGATTTTGTAATTATCTGGACTCACCTTAACTTTGGTTACGGATTTGGACTTGAAAAAAGTCTTACGGCCTACTATGATGCCACAACATGACACCGCTAGTTGCTCATTGTGTGTCCGAATTCGTGACATTAAGATCTTCTTCTTCCCTCCTGCAGCCTCGGCACCTTCTCCGCCATCACGAGCTCCCTCGCGCGTTCTCTCTTCGACTTCAGAATACAACCGGTCCTCATCGGAAAGTGCGACCTCACCAGTCTCTGGCTCCAGTAGTACGCTGGGATCTATATGTAAGTTTGAATGGGGACGATTGAATCGGCGTGGAAGTCCGAATAGTGACGTGTTGCGTTCTTTGAAGGTTTTGTTGGCGGCGATGTGTTCTTCAAGGTGACAGGTCTTGGTACCGTCCACCGCTTTGTTCATGCAGGGCTGCGCTTGACATATGTTGGCCAATAGCTTGGCGTGAGTCGGACAAAATCGATGATTTACTTTTTCCAGAGGTTCGGTGCAGCATACGTCTGTGGTGTTGGGATCCAGAGCTTTCAGTTGCTCTTGAGATGCGCTACAACTCCAAATTCCTAGGGTAATGCCGTCGGTTACAACAGCGCGTAGTACTGTCATTTTTTATTCAGTATACACTCTCTCCCAATATGACAGTATAGAAACATACGCGTACTTTTCCCTTCTCCGGTTGATTCGTCAATTGCAATTTTGGTGCATGTACTACATACATGAGCGGAATGTCCGTTACCTTCCACTTGCAACCATTCGGTGTGCTGCTGCATGGCTAGTTCAAATCGCTTATCATCGGTTCCTTTCGCGTTCGCCGTTAAGCGCACACCTCTATTTGCGTAGTTCTCCATCAATCAATGGATGTCGAGTGCCAGTGATGCAACGTTGGCACTCATTCGTCGGTTATACCTGCCCTTGTGGAAGTCGTTGCGGTACGGCTTCTTTACGTTAGCGTGAGTTTGATTGTAGGAGTTGACTAGGTTGTAAATCGAAACTCTGATTTTGATATCAGTTATAATTATGGCGTAGTCATTGTTGATGTTGTTTAAATTTGGGGACTTACATGGCTAGGTTTTGAAGGTGGTTGAAGTGTTCAGCAAGGCGGTGAGTCATAAAGTAATGCTGGCTAACTTGGAAACTTTCTTTAGGCTGGCCTTCCTCTTCCGTGTAGTACAATTGTTGATTCTTGTCATTATAATAGCATGGCGTGTATGTAGTGTGGCAGTCTTTTGAGGTAACGATTTTTGTTTTGTCAGCTACCTTTTGGAGCAACGGGGAATGTGCCACTTACGTCGACAATAGTAGTTGATGGTTTGGACGGTTTGAACCCCTGCTATGTCGAATAGATACCCAAACTTCGGTTTGCGCCGCTCAAGGATCAAAGGTTGGTTTCCGTTCTTGCACGTGAAACAGTGGCTCGTAGGAGGTTGAAAATACTGTTTGGTAAGGGTCAAAGATATTTTGTGCCTTCGGTAGTGTTGTGAAGGAATACCGTTCTCTTGGAACATCGTGCTATCGTAATTGCACGTTGGGATGGCATCATAGGCGATGTTCCATAGGTGGCCCCACTTGGCGTCTTCCTGGCCTGACTCCAGGCATTGGCTCAGGAATTCATAGGGTGCGTGATTGGGTGAAGTGGTTAGTGCACCTTTGGTGCGCTTGAAAAAATCTGCCGCCAACGTGGTAAACTTGGTCAGCTGGCTGACAGTCAATGTTGCGTGCGTGTGTGGGTCTAGCTTAGATAGCTGTTCCATCAAATCTGTAACAAGCATGGCGGCCGGTTTGTTTGTATCAATAATAGATAAGAAGGTAAAATAATAATGTGCAATTATAAGATTTTGTGTGAAGTAGGGCGGACGGAATGGTGAGAACCTTGGTACGCGGGTAACTATGTGTCCAATTTGGTCATGACAGGTGCGACGCTTTCGGACGTGAGAAAGGTACAGTCGTTTTCAAAAAGGTTGAAATTGAGGCGTCTCAAAAATGGCAAGGTGGACCGTGCGCCACCTGTGAAAGGTGCCAAATATGCATACAGAAATGCTGGTGTAGTCGCATAGCCACAGGGCTCTTCAAAAAGAATATTGGCAATGTTGGTTGAGAGCCTCCGTTACGCCTGATCAACCCAGTATCGAGGGTACTCCCTTTTTGAGTTCGAGCCGGACTGGCTTTGTTTTTTGTCATCACACATTTTGACATGTTTCTCTTATTCAATCTGCTCGTTATCGTAAAATACAACAACGATACCTCGTACCATTGTTAGCTTCCATATGATAATTTTTGTTCTATCAGCAAGTCGAGACAAAAACTATTGGCATTAAAAGAGGCCCCCCGAGTCGAACACAGGACTGCCTCTACGTGCCACTCTTGCTGACCGCTGCGCCACCAGAGAATGAGTAGGGAAGGCCAAACAACTACTTCCATACCGTCTAATGATCGATCTGTCAGGTAAGTTTGATACCTTTCACAGGTGGCGCACGGTCCACCTCTCCATTTTTGATACGCCTCGATTTCAACCTTTTTGAAAACGACTGTACTATAATTATTTAATTTCAATACTGGCGACTGTGCGTGGCTCGCGACTCTCAAATGCGAGCCGCCTCTCTGCCTCCACAAGCCTTCGGGTCTTCTGGTTCCTCCGGGCTACCGGGCTCATCCAACCTGAGTTGAGTTTTGACTCGGAAGAAAGATGTATAATCAGCCGCAGCTCGCAGCAAGCCATACCTGGTCAACCGACACCGCGGGAATCGACTTGTTTGAAACCCGATTGAGCGGAATTTTGGTGTCCAGGTTTGAAATTTCCTTGAATTGTGAATCTTGTTCACAAATTGTTAGCATTATGTTTGCCGATTTGCCTTGAGTACCCTACAATACATACACATACACATCACTTTCAAAACCTGTGATTCCAACTGTTTGACTACATATCTCAACGCTTATCATGTTCCCGCTGAACTGCTTTTTTTTGGTTGATCAAGGCTTGACAAATGAGGATGAAGGTGAGGAATGGTGAAAGGGGATGTTGCTGTATGATGTGACTGTACATACACAGGGCCAGCCGAGTACAGAGTTCAGCCCAAGGGGAATTGGCAAACATAATGCAAACAAGTTGTGAACAAGATTCATGATTTGAGTAAATTTCAAACCCGGACACTGAAAACAAGCTCAATCGGGTTTCAAACAAGTTGATCCCCGCGGTGCGACAAGTTGAATTTTGGTTCTTCTCCTTCAGCTTGAGTGAGGAGTAACACCAGCCTACCTCGTTCACATTTCCAATTGGCTTCCAGAATCAAGATATGCCCTTTCCATCGCTTCGTCAGATATTTGCCGCTTTCAGGTCACCAGAGCAAGAAGCCGACCTTTCCAGGACAGCCTTCAGTCGATTTCTTCTTTTCATCTTCACTATAACATCATTAAGTCTATTGGCTAGCAAAGCCGTTCAAAAAGCAGCCATCAATTCCAGTTCTTGACATCAAGTCTTCCGATTCGGCATTCAAGAACTATGGCCCCTTGATCCGGAATCAAACGTCAATTACGAGGTACGCGCATACTCATTTTTGGCTTTCCTCCATCTCGTCGATAGTTATCAATGATGATCTCCCTGGACGGTCCATTTTATCGACGACGCAGTCCAAAGGGAGAACTCAAAATGGATGATGAATCTTGAAGATGTTCAAGCAATCACGACATGCGTTCTCTTTAACCGTTTTTGGCTGTTAGAGCCGGTCGCTCTTATCAGTAATATCCTGGTTTACGATTGACACAGTGTTCATGACTGTGACGTTCATCTTCCTCAGAGATAGTGAAATCAAAAAGGCCAGATCTGATGCTACTATCGGCTTCCCCAATCAGCACTCTTTGAAGACAAAATGACCGGAGAGCGCCAAAGATGCTGACCTTATTTTTTTCGGCTTTGATTGATTAGAATTCTAGAGACCGAAGAACCGATGACAGACGCCACGATATATCAATGTGTCCAATCATCTACACTATGCATTCCTCGAACACTTTGAAGCTCACTATGGGAACCAATCGTGGTTTAACCCGACATCAGCTCCATGAGCCTTGTGCAGTGTAATTCATTCTTTACCATCCCTAATATGCAATGTTATAAACCTTTTACAAAGCGTATCTAATATCTGCAGCGAGGATCGCAGGTCAGTATCAGCAGAAGCCTATTCATTGCTTTGGAAGTCACTACATCATCCTAAACCGGTCATTGTGAATTTGAGGAGGGTATCCGGAAGCCTGAGGTCAAGATCTTCATCAACCCTCAACCAGATGCCTGCAGCAACGTGACGTGTGCCTTTGACCAAATAATCCTTGCGGAATGAAATTGAACAATCATCTCTTAATTCGGCAGTTGTAGACTTGCGACTTCTATCCCAAATAGGCAGACATGACCATTTTCTCAGCTACAAAGCATTTCCATATAGGGAAATTGTCATTATCCATTTATGGCTATCGAGTTGAGACATCCTGACATATCAGTCTATCATGATACGAAATGTCGTTTGAGAAGCTTGAGGCGACTCGATGTTGTCTTGATTCAAACTATCACGGCGTCTCTTAATGGAACTGCAAATGGTTGATAGCCTTTTCCTCAAACCTCAATTTCCGGATGCGGTTTGTTCAATGGCTAGCTTGCCAGAGGTGTCGAGGATGACCTCAAGCTACCAGTCTTGATTCGTCAAATGGTCTGGCTTCAATGGACAAACCCATTCTAATATTCCTTTACCCCGTCTAATACCTTTCTTTCTTTCTAGACCCCAAGTATAATTCTTTTTAGTCATTCAGTTTTCCAGCAAATCGATCTTCTTAACATGGCGTTGGAACAATCCTACCCTCGGCGCCGCCCATCACCGACCCACTCTAGTGAAGAACGTATATCAAGCAATGCCAGTCTACACTCATTGGAGGGCGATCTCTCTCAATCTCACGAGTCGCCCAAGGAACCTCAGTCATCATCGATCACCAACAACTATTCCATGTTAACAACATCTCTCGATGACAAGTTCGTTCAACGTCGAAGTATGACTCTATATAGAGTGCACTCGGATGGAGAGGGCATTGAGCATCCTGATGCTGGTGATCTAGGCAATAGCAATAGCCAAGAACAGCTAAATGAACTTGAAGATATATTTTCATCCCAAGAACATCGCGTCAGAGATCAGACACAAACGGACGCAGCGTCACCATGCGATTCAATAAGGATGGGTGGAACAACCAGTCGAGAATGCCTGGAAAAAACTGATCTCGTTACTGGTTCAAGTCGAAGAGACCGGCCACCTTCATACCGAAGAAGCCATGGCCGAGCACCGGGTATGAAGACTTTATATGGTGACGAGTTTCTTCCTCTGGCAATTTCCTCCGGCGTGAAGCCTACAAAACCCAAAACGGTCTCGCAAGATACCGATACAGTCGGTGGAGGATCCTCACCGCCTGGATATTTTGGAGATGTGCAGTTACCCAAGGAGTCTACGTCAGACATGCCTACCGGATCGACGCCCAAGGTACGTTCAATCAGATTTTTATGAGAGTGATATTGCTTGTTGATTCACGCTCGGTCTCTGGTCATATCAGCATAACCCTGAGCAGGTAGATATCGACTTTTCCAAAACCATCAACAAATTCAAACAGGAAACCAAGGACTCTCGGCACACTCATAGAGCTTCAATTGACGTACGTCCTTGTTTCAAACCAAGTCCCCATCTTCCAAATCTATTTTGTGAATTTTTGAAGACAAACCTAAGCAACAAACACTGACCATGCCACAAATATGTCTATCAGTGGCGTAGACGAGTGATGGCCTTCGAACCAAGCACTGACAGATTATCGCCCACCAGTGACAGCACGTCGATTCCTCATTCCCCTCCTAATTCATTTGCCAATGATAGGATGTCAATGTCTACTGCAGTAGACAGTGTCTATGTGAATTTCGATCATTTTTCTCAATCTGAGAAACAGAACTCGGATTTCTCGAAAGAAGAAGATTACACCGATGATTATCCTCGAAACTTTGTACGTTCCCCATTTTGTATTTGAGATATTATCTGAAACGCTGAAATCTTCTCTGATTTTGACATAGAGTCCGGAAGACATAGTTCACATCTCTAAGAAAAAAGTACGCATACTGGAGGGGCGAAATGTGCTTCGATTCGTGTTAGGATTGGCGAGCTCATTTGTGGCCGCCATACTTGCCGGCTTATACTTATATCTACGATATCGATACATGGTCAAGGTGCTAAAGACCACCTCTCAAAGATACACTGAGGCATGGGTGTTTCTAGCACTCGAAAGTCTTGTGTGGACTTCTCTAGGTGAGCTTTGAATGCCGAATTCCCATCTTGAGTGTTGGAAGTCTCCTGAATACCATTTCTCACCCTCTGCGACCCAACAGGACTATCTGGATTGTACGATGTGTTATCACAGCTACCACGCCGTACATCACATGTGTCCGGCATGAGAATCAAGAGCGAAGCACACTTACCAATCGTCGATATCTACATCATCACTTCTGGGTTTCCAGACCCGATTGTTATGGACACTGTAGCTGCGACTTTGGCATTAGACTACCCACCTTCACGATATCGTGTGATAGTCATTGACAATTCCCAGGGGTCGAATCTTCAACGACAAATCGAACGCTTTCGTAATCGGCCTATGAATCTGTTGTATCAGCGTGTGGTGGGTGATGATTCTATGAGACATCGGTGTCACCCCAGCGGATATGCTATCCAATTCGCCTTACAACAACCCACCCCACGAAACCCAAGCCCATTCATTGCGATCTTAGACGGCGATGTAAGTCCAACGCAGCTCATAGAGAAGTTTACCGTACCATAAAAATCATGCTGATACCTATGCTTTTAATTGAACACGATAATCTGCCAGATGATTCCTGAACTGGGCTTTTTGCGCTCTTTGGTCCCCCATATGGTTCAAGATCCGATGGTCGGCCTTGTGGCCTGTCCGATGGCGTATTACAACCTTCCCAAATTTTTGCAAGGTCCCACTGCAACACTTCTAGAAATGTCAGGTACACTTGTCCGTCCTCGCGATACCACTCTTCATGGTATAAGATCAGGAATTATTTTGCGCCGTTCTGCTTTAAGGGACATCGGCGGATTCCCAGCTTACTCTTGCATTGACGATGGAGCTGTGGTCTCCCTACTTAATCAAAAAGGTTATCGCAGTGTGGTTGTCAAAGAGCCAGCCCAATGTGGTACTGCTCCATTGGATTTTGTTACTGCCACGAGCCATCTGTCTGCTCTCAGATTTGGACCTTTCAAGATAGCTGCGTCTAGTGGCTCCTTCGGCGCACGAATCTGCGGCCTTTTTGAACCGATTTGTCGAACGATATTCAGCTTTTTGATATTTTGTGGAATCGTTTCCATACCCCTTCAGTTCTTTTCTTCCACAGTTCTTGTACCTGTCTTGAAAAAATCACAGCTCGTCAACTTAATTCAAATGTCCGCCATGATGCTTTTTGCTTTCAGTCTGCGTGACTCAATCTGGTGTACCCGCTCAAGTTTGTTCAAACTTTAATAGGATTCCATGCCACGTATTGAATGCTAATCATTTGTTTCTTTTTAGGTACTCCAACTTTCCGTCGGCGCTTGCAAACTTGGGCCTTCGTTGCTCCTTATGACATGATCGTCATCATCAGTCGACTCAACCCATTCAGATCTACCCGTTATATCAATGCATCAAGAGTAGAAGCCCCCTCTACTCGACTCAGAAGGATCCGTCGCGCCACAACTACAGGGCTAGCCTGGCTCCATCTTTTACTAGCAATCACTATCGCAGCATCAGTGATTTACAAAATCGTGCTCCTTGCCACGAATCGACGTGAAATGGGCACTATTTACCAAACTGGGCTTTTAGCTATCATCTCTGGTTCATTCTGGCCCACGCTTGTTTTTGTGGATATTTGGTTGGGTCTAATGACACCTCTCACTCTCGCACTTAAATCATCAAGGATACCATTTCGGGAAGATTTATTGTCAGTTTTGATTTTGTCTTCTTATATAGACCGGAGTTTCTGATATATCACTGGTTTTCGAACTTTACAGGATTCGAGATCCATTCACTATGGTAGCTAGACCCAAGTTAACTTCTCGAACTTATTACCCTTTTATTGTAGTACATTCCCCGATGGAATGTGTCATCAGTTTAATGTTTGCTGCTTATAATCTTTTCTTATTGGGGCTCAGTTTTTTTCAAATCCAACGTTAGGCTTTCTTTGAATCCTATTCTTGGTTCGACAAATTTTCCTTTACATCCTGAATTTCACTTTGATTCAACTTTGTTCGAGTTGATGGTCACTGTTGGATTTTTTTGTTATTGAGATTTCGCCATGTCGATGTTTTTTCTCAGAATTTTTGATTACACCTAATGTATCTTCTATTAAATCAATAATAAAAACCATATTGCTTCTCTCTGGGCATATCTTTGTAATCATCCCGCCCCACATGAGCACATCATATGTTCTTCAACTCCGCTTTCCAAGTGATATGCGGGCATGTTGACCGGTACCCGGGTCGGATTGCTGCCGTCGGTGTAAATACCACATCATCAAGTCCTCGCCAGACACTGCCCAAGCAGTCAAGCTCTTGTGAATCCTCACTTCGTTATTTCTCAAAATATGGCTCAGAAAGAGTCTAAGCACTCTCAGGAACGCTCTGAAGCGTATCAATCACATCTTATTAACATCCTCTCAGACTCTAACCTACCTATAGGTGGATTTGTTTCGTCTTCAGGATTAGAATCATATCTGGCTCACTCGTTCATCACCACCGATAGCGAACGTACCAAGGAATTAACCGAATTTGCTAGGCTTAACGTAGTCAATTACGCTTCTTTATCAATTCCATTCATGAATGGTGTCTTCACAGCTATCGAATATAGTGACGCAGAAGCTGTGGTTGAGTCTGTTATGAAGCTTGATCGTTTATATCATGCTATGTGCCTTAATACAGTCACAAGAAGATCATCTCTTGCACAAGGTGCTGCAATGGTGATGCTTTATACAAAATCGTTTTCTAGCGCAGATCAAACTGTGATGGACGTATTGAAAACACGAGTGCGTGCTAGTAAACGAAACTTACATTTCCCCATCGCTTACGCGCTCACGAGTGGTCTTCTAGGCTTATCATGTGGTCTGTCCTTATTCTCCAAATGTCTCTCCGGCTTGAAATTGATCGTGATATCAGGCTGATAGATATGATTCAAAGCTCGTTCTATCGATCTTCATCTATTCCTTTACATTCGATCGATACTTTCTGCAGCAGTTCGACTTAACCTTATTGGACCTTATCTTTCTCAACGAATCCTTTTCTCAGATATACGACCTATGTTGGATGATGTGATGGCCAATTTGAAGAACCGAAGATTATCCAAATCTGATCAAATTAGATGTGGTTTGATGATTGTAGAAAAAAACTCAAGCAAAGACGATGATTGTGCTCAGGTTGATGAAGACGATAGCGACGATGAGGATGTCGGTGCTACCACGACGTGGCCTTTGGGAGATATCCTTAGTGCTAGACATGATTTGTGTCACGTTAGACTATTTAACTCTTGATTCCTGATTCATTACTTGTGTACACACAAACTTCGGTCACTATACCTCACGTGAGTATGGCTTCACTCAGTGTTCAATCCCTCTGAAAGCAAAATGAAATCTAATGAGACTTGCTCACAAGTAGGGCAAAGACAGTTCTCATAAACAGCAGTCTTTTGTATCTATTTGAGGTAACCGAAGTGTGTCTTGATTTGAGTAAGGGTGGTGCTGTAACGGTACAATTTATGTGCATTGAGTTTGATTTTACAAACTGCAATCCCACTTTCATGGTCGGTCAATATTCCTGGGATGACCCCAAGAATTATTGATAGGTATTGGCCAAAATGGATTCCATGCCAGCTTCCACATGGCAGTGTTGCTTTCCGCTTTATGCAGCTCTGTAGCTTTAACACCGTGTTTGGAATTTTTGAATCTAACAGAACGTGAATCGTTGTTAATCTCGTGACTTGAATGAAAGGAGCGCTTCATCTGAACATGGTTACTATATTGGAGGGTTGAGGGTTACATTTTCTGTACCCATCTGCATATGTATCCCTACTGGAATACTGTTTGATCTCCATAGATCAATTCTGTATCCACATCTTTGAACCATGATGAACTTGTGCATCAGCTGTTGAAGCAGATCAAGACAATCTGAGGCAAGAAAATAACATGTTCAGGAGACAGTCACATGATCATTTGAAGACTTCAAACTATAATCTCCTGGGCAAGCCTGACCTGACAAGACCCAAAAGTATGCAAGTCAAAACATGGGCTTGATCAGTTGCAGTTCCAGGGAAGAAATACAAGGAAAAGAATTGGAAATATACCTGATGAAGATACAGATGATCCCACATGAAAGGGCAAGTTTAATTCCATATTATAACACTGCTCACCTTTATGACTCTTGAACTTGTGAGGTGTTTTCTTTCAGTTGATAAGTGAAGCTAGCCACCACCACAACTCATTCTCAAGTTCCACAAATTTCATCTTCATATGTGGCACCATCAAGCTCTCAGATTCTGTAGTGCTTCATTATCTTGAGATTGTTACCAGATAGAAAAAGTCTATCTTGATTAGTATTATCAAGGTACAGTACTAAACACTTTTCAATACTGTGAAAAATGATGTCATTAGTCAACTCACAGCTAGCTTCCTCTAGTCTGAAAGGAAAATAATATGTTTAGCCAAATACTGGTTTCATGCTGAGGTGTAGAACATCTGGAAATCAAAAATATGTACTCATGGGCTCCTGACCTACTGGATACCAGTTGAGTGAATTGGAACAGTGCAATCATGTTATGAGCATTATAACATGTACAAGTAGACACAGAAAGCATATGTCACCCCCGGGCCCAGACTGGCTCACACTACAAGGGTGATGTATCTTTTCTGGGTCTGCTTGTACATGTCCCCATGCCTAGCATTTGAAACCAGTGAGTTTGAACAGCACCAATTCCTGGTACCAGGCTCCTTACCCTCAACTGAGTCAAATTGCTTCAATTGAAGATATGTTCCTCAATTTATCTTTCATCTTTATGCATTCCAATGATTCATCCTCTGTCAGATTCTATCCAGGTATGAGTCTTGATGATTTGAAAGATTTCAGTGTGTATCATCAAATATTCACCAGTTATTTTCCTACAGGAATTGCCCTGGTACCACTCAAGCAATTGTGTGATTGCGTAAACTACTTGTAGGAGATTGTACCGAATCTCTTGGAGACCACCTCAAAAACATAAAATTTAAACAGCAATTTCAGCTTGACAAAGAGTGAGACCCATTTAGAACAAGACAGAAAAGAAACTGTTGAGAGGCTGGGTTGGGAGGACTGATGTGGAAAGCAGGAAATAGCAAGAAGATAATCAAGAGGACAGCCTGGCACTTTGAATACTCACATTGGAATTTGTTGTTTAGTTGTAAGTCCCTCACTCAATGCCTCATTGGGCAAGGACAGGGGAATTTGTTGATTTGAAGCTAGACCATAACTTGGAAAGTATCACATCAAGACAGATTACCAGAAATTATAACTGCACTTTCATAGTGTAAAAGGTCAAGTCTCTGGTCAGTGTTCTCACACAAAAGAAATCTTGTAGAAACTGGATCTGAGCATGAAATGACCAGGCGGTTAGACAAGACTGTTGGACATAGGAAGTAGAATTACATTTTTCTGAGAATGTCTTAGCTATATCAATCTCTTGGTATGCTTGTACATACAAGAGATCTACGTATGATAGCACAAAAGATCCTTCTAGTGTGCCATAATGACACAATTTAGTGCAAGGGGGTCCCATGTTTTAACGGTTGAATAGGGAGGTTTACAGAAGGTCACATATACCCATTGTTTCTAAATCTAACCTCCAAGCAAGAAATCACCATTGCCAATTCTTTGACACTTACAAAGGGATGCTGGCATTTTACCAAAGTCTGACAAAGAAAGTGAATAAAACTTTTTACATTTTTTTCAAACATCTCTGTGTGTGCATGTCAATGTTCCATAAGAAAATGGACGCTGTTTTTGGCCTTGGGTGCCATAGAGTATCATCAGTGGAAGTAGATGAGGATGTACATAGCTTGGCTCTCCAGCAGAGCAAGTGCTTTGAATTCTGAATTATGGTTCCTCATCAATGCTTTGTGCACCTAGGGAAACCCAATTGTTGATCAAGATGTACATTTTGCCTGTGCAAGTGACAATCACAATATAGGTACAAGGCCTACTAGTATGGTATATATATTTTACTTGTTGGATGAGGGGTTGTCTCTCCTTCTTCACATTTGAATTATCACATCATTTTCTTAACCTCATCTGTGAGTGGTTCGCAAGGCTTTGTCTAGGATAATTTCACTTAAACCACTTTTATCTTCAATTCTTTGGTCCTGAGGCTCTGTAGACTCTGGAGGGTATAGCTGTTTTTGTCAATGATTGTTTTTTGTTTGAAAAATTGCATTGCTGCAGTGGCTAAGGTCAGTCAAAACTTGTTTTTACAGGGTTTTTACCCTGTGTATCCTCAAAATTAGCATCAAAACAAAACTTGGTCAAAAAGAAAACCAGGTTTTGCACCATGATGCACTTTTCACAAAAGTCATTCATTCTCAAATTGGCTGAATCAAAAGCTCCAGGTACAAGATCATTGGCTATTTAGCTTAACACAAGCCCTCTCTGTGCAGCCACATCTGTGTGCCTTGTAAAGGGGCTTGGGAGTAATTGTCAAATTTTGGCACAGAGAGTCCAAACCTTGAGTCCTCCTAAGTAGTTCCTTGCTTTTTCCTGCTGTCCTTGCTGGTAAACACTTACCTTGCGGCAATGTTGTGCACCATCACTTTCTACACATACACACTTGCAGCCTCATGTTTTGTTATGATCTCAGGTGCGACCAACCAAGTAGGTTGGAAATCTTTGCAATACCTGCCTGTACTGTCTCTTTCTTGAAATCTATAACACATCCAGTGCAAACATACATCCCTTTACAAGTGAGGCATAAAGCTTGGATCTTGCAAACAGAATGTTTCAGCATTGTTTCCTGGTTGATCAATGGCTGAAGACATGTCAAAATCAATCCTGAACATAACTGCCTGAAAGGTAAAGTGGTTTTATCCACAAGGAAAGTGGGAAATAGCAAAAAAACAACTTACAGCTGTTATCACAATTAACGGTAGAATTCTGCGATCATGTGTCGCTCTCGAGGTTAAATCTGGAGAGGTCAAAACTGGATTAAACCCAGTTTTGCACCCAAATGAACAAGGAGGCCTGGGAGACCTGTCACTTTGAGCCGGCTTTAACTAGTTTTTGACTTTTAGATTAAATTCCGATGCAACACACCGATGAAGAATTCTACCGTTAATTGTGATAACGGCTGTAAGAGGACTTAAGGGTTGGAGTCACCTGGCCAGAATTCAACAATTAGTCCCAAGCCCCTCTGCGAGGCACGCGGACGCGGCCGCGCAGAGAGGGCTTGTGTTAAGCTAAATCAGCTATCCTCGGTCGGATCTTCAAAGATTGCCAAGTCAAGCAGCCCAAAGGAAGACTGTACAAACGTATAAGAGGTCTTGGAAATTTAGTTGGACAGCGGGGACCCACGGAGCATCGCTCACTGGCATTCCGATTGAGATCTGGGTCTATCATAGGTCTATGTATGTACAATTTGGGTTCGAACACAAACAGAGATGAGGACAAGAGATTGAGCTTTTCACCTGATCAAAAGAGGTGCAAACGATCAGTCAATGATCATACATAAGCAACCAGCATCCTCATTACGGGGTTCAATGCTGTTTGATGATGTCAGATGAGGAGTTTCACTTACGGTATGGTCCTGATGTATTTTAGCGAAGTGTATGGTCAGGTGCCCACTGAAGCTCGCTGCCGTGATCACATCTCTACAACCTTTATTTTAGCCTCCACCGACCCTAAAGACAGCTGTGGACCTATGTGGACTGACTGTATTAAGTTGATACAGCTATATAACTCCCGCAGTGGTAATAGGGGCGCGAGAGGGTCAAGCCTGGTCGAGCGCTGAGATTACTGGTGGCTACCCAGGAAGCGTTTGACTACGACGAATTCGGATGAACAGAAGTTATTAATTATAATCAAGTCTCATCCTATAAGTTCTATCGCTCAGTTGACCCTTTCACAAATTCCTCGTCAAGCTATTTTGGGAACCTGTCCCGGTGGATTCGAACCAGTCCCTTCTTTTCATCATCACATCAGGATGAGCCCCGACCCCCGAATGCCGGGGACTGGGCTGCCCGGCCCACCGACTTTTTTTCAAAAGTCAGAACGAGGACCGACCCCGGTATTCCCCGAGCTTTTTCTGGCTCATAGGTCAAGCCCGGCTCCCGTACCCTGACCCCCGACGAACTACCAAATCCCCGGGAAATTACAGGGATCCCCGAGTCCCCGGCTATTTCCGGCAGAAACCGCTGAGCACAACCTCTCCCAAGCGTGTATTTATCCGCTTTTTACAGCTTGATTTTTCCTCGGGTTCCCCAAGGAGAGTCACTTTCTTTTGACTCTCAGAACGACTCCCGGGCCCGATAATCCCCGCGGTTCTGCGACCCTTCGAAGGCCAGAACGACCCCCCGACCCGACGGGCTGTCCCGCGGGTATCCCCGATTTGGCGGGTCTCGGGGCTCATCCTGATCATCACATCAATTTGTGGCGCCTTCGAAAATGCTTCAGTCAATATCAGCTCATAATATCAGACCAAGTCCCTCCGAGGTTGAAATACTCCTCTGAACCCCCATCGATCAGATCTCAGCATCCTCTATTTCTGATTTGACATTTATTTACGTTTCCCCGGACATATATTCCCCCCTACGGATTACATACTTCACTTCCGTTATCTGCCAATTCATTGCGGATCTCCACATCGACCTGCTTACCGATACAGTAGATCTTAAACAATATCCTAGCGGTGCAGTACTGTCCCGGTTTTTGTTGAAAAATCTCAGGTTTTGCCCAGTCCTTGTGCGGTTCATCTTTCGTCCATAACCAAGATAGAAAACACGTCGCACTCCAACACTTGCTTAATTTATCTTGCGACCATTGAATCGTGATACCAGCTCAACGTTCAACGTCCTATCACTCGGATACGAGATCAGTCACTGAAGTCTGCACATCGCGTCATTGCAACACTGAGGTACATCTACTCAACCATCTTCTGCCCTTGCGTCCACAGCCTGACTGCTCGATTCCTCATTTCACTACACTGCACAAAAGGCTCAATCATGGAGACATGTGGAATGGAGGACTTGCTCTCTTCGTTCTCTTCTGACGCTTTTGCTGTCCAATCACAATCCGAAAAAGACCTACGAGCGTCACTCAACAGCTTTTTTGCGGTCAATCAGTTCGCGGGAACCACTCCTAACACTACTCTTCCAACGCACCCATGGTCATCGCATTCAGGACCCACAAGAGAACCAGGGTCGGGTGACTACTACGCACAAGACATTCCTCGCCCTAACACACCGATGGGTACCCCGGTGCGAGGCAACGGTTTTATGCTAGCTACCCATTACAACAGTCCAACACTTGATCATCGAGTATCGGGAGACTTGACATCTTGCGGCCAGCTATCTTCGTCTACGGTCTCGGCCAATTGTTTTGCTTGCCTTTATTTGCTTCAAAATCCCGATCAATTTTCAACCATCTTGCCTAGCCAACATCAGGAGGGATGCGATCATTTACAATCATTACCAACTCAACATGAACACACAGCTTATATGCCTGCGCTTAATCGACATTTCGATCCTTCATTGGAACAACAGTTTGTTTCGGCTGGAACGACTTATGGGAGACAGCCAGAATCCCATTCATGAACCAGTACGGATCCCTCTTTCTTCTTACATATTCAATCGGCGACCGTCCATGGTATCGGGTTGCTGACCCTTATGCGTTGTTTATCATCAAAAGACCTATCCCATTCTCATTCATTTACAATTCACTCGAAAGGCGTTTTCTAGCTGCTGAAAATCTTTCTCGTCTCCTTGTCCAGATTTCTGCATCGTTCATCTTCATCGGATGTCCGGAACACATTCTCCCATCATTGGAGTCTGTAGTTCTTCGGACTCGTCTCCTCGTCGATACCGTCTCAATCCTTTTTTTAACTTTTTGTTTGCAACTTATGATCTCCTAACTCCCTCTTCTCACTCCCGTTCTTCAGTTTTCGAAAAAAAAAAACTATTTTCTCCGTTTTTCATTCTTTCAAATGATTATAATCACAAAACAGTTTATCTTTCAAGGATCAGGCTGATACTTGAACCCCATATCCAATCTTGTACAAGTCCAATTATAAATTCTTGGATTCTTGGAGGGAAAGTAAGATTACCTGAAGGAGTTGATCCGAAACTATATAGACGCTCTACTTTGTTTCTCATTCTGGTTGAAAAGTCACCTAAAAAAACTTCCTGTTCACATCCTAGCTATAAAAACTTAAATTGACCAATATTTGTACAAAATTAATTAATCATGCTTTTTGTGTGCATCTATACGCCTGGCCCTTGTGGCTTTAAATGTGTTTAAAATCATAGCGGAGCGCAAGTTGATGACTTGCTCTGTCTGAGTGCCTAAACAGGTATGGCAATTCAATAAGAGATGACCATATTTATAAAATGTCTAAGTCAAGCTAGAGATGCTAAGTGCACAAGATGTACATAGTAACTTGTCATGATTTAGGAGGTCAATGTGTACCCCAGATGCACTCAGTGGACTCGACCTATGAGTTCTGTAAGAGTTGTGATCTCATTGTTTGACCATTTCAAGTGAAGCTTTTGAAGTGGAAAACCAGAGCCCCATCTCAGTTGTGGATTAATATTGTCTTACATTGGGGAAAGAGTAGAAAAGTGATAGATGTGTAATTTGGTATGATTCCAAAGGGAAGGATTTTGATGGCCAGGTTGAATTACAAGTGAATTTGTCCCATGATCAGCACAGCACTGTAATATCCAGTATATAGTCATGATTGACAGATCAAGTTTCAATCCAATATATTGAATGGCACATTCAATGTGAAGTTTATTGTGAAAGAGGCAGAGTACAATTGGGTTTGATCATAGAGCCAACATGACATTCTCAATCGTAGCTTGAAAGAATTGTATTCTTTTGTTTTCTTGCCACAGTTAAAACAGCAATAAATTTGATTATCAATTGATATTATCAAGTCTTGCTAGATGATCTTGCAAGACTCACACAAGACAGTATTGTGATATCCCTAGTTTTTATTTTCTTTTGACTGTCCTGAATATATAACATTGTAATTAAACATCATAAAGAATACTATGCAAAGTCTGCTTTTGTCTGGAATTGTCTATATCAATAGAGTGCAAGTCACTGTGGAAGATAAATATCACAAATCTCTATGTTTTATCATAGTATATGCATTGTTCACCAAGGGGTTGCTTGCATGGCCATACAACAAGTATTGGACCTGCATGTCACATCCCCCTGTTCATTAACAAAAGTCTCAAATATAATAAAATCAAGTTCTGTTGTATTACCCAGAGCTCCAGGAAAACTCAGGGGTACACCCCAACACAGACCAATATGTATGTAAAAAAATGCAATGAAGACCCAAATAAAACTGGTGTACAAAATTTAAAGCTGCCTGAGGTTTCACATCACCAAGGGAACAATGCCCACCTTTCAAATGAGCAGAGAAACTAGAAAAATCTTCCTGTACTATCTTCTTTCCAAACAAAAGACACATCCAGGGTTTGATGTAAGGATTTTACCACTCTGACTCCTGTGACACTTTCAGGTACCATGTTTTTTGGTCTACATTGATTGGATATGATTGTCTATTGCTCCAGGGTTCTAGGGGTACAACTTCCCTCTTTTGTACTCAATACCTTGCAGTGAAATCATGATACAGATCTTTGATCCAGAGGATAAAGAGAACTTGGATAAGAGAGAAAAACATTATAAAATTCTTCCATGTAGGATGAATTCTAGTTATAGAATATTGACAGCTGTTTCAGAAAATATGGAAAGAAGGATAAAAAAGAGTTGTTGCAACTGGCACAGCAAGAAAAATTTGCAGAGATCCTCTTGATATGTTTTTTCTGGCTGCATTTTGCAAATTAGCAGGGAATTTCTTTGGTCAGAAACAAAGTTTAGGTTTTGCATTGCAACAATTCTTCTTTTGAAAAAATAGACATTTTTGTTGTTGTGGTACCAGTGCTCTTTCACAAAAGACACATTACTCACAGAAACATGTCTCCAGTTGACTGCCAAGTAGAGTATCAGTGCAAAAGTCTTGCACCAGGGTATGAGTTTCCAATACAAGAGTGTTCAGGGTCTGATCTGGGTCTACTAAAGAAGCACTTGGCATAGAATTGAATTGAAGAATAGAGGCTAGATGAAGGTTTAAATAAAGACAGAGAATGAAGAATAAAGAATTTAGTCAACTCAGTCTTTCAAAGATGAGGAAAAGAAGGCAGATTGAGGATAGATGAATATATACATACTTAAATATATGTATTTAATCTGATTGTGATAAGTCACTGACAAGCATATTTAGCACAAATTCACATGTTTGTGTGGATTGGATATCAAAAATCAGTTATGTGAATGAGTCAAGAAAAGGTAAAATCCTAACCTGACCCATTGGCCACCCAGAAAATATTGAAAGTAATGCTTAGAATGTTGGTTGGTGCATGCAATGATTAGAGAAACTGCAGGTCTGCTGAAGCTGTTGTAGACCTTTTGAAAGATCTGATCTAGTGGGCAACATCAATCTTCATGTGAATGTTAAATCAAAGATGGTGGCAGTCCAACCCCGGAAAGACCCCACATTGGTCCGCACAGTTTGCCAAGATATCTCACGGGGGGAGTATTTCACCAATGGGCACTGTATGCAGCAGAGCATCTTTGCTCATACAGCATGAGCGTCAGCTGCTTGGCAATTGTGGTGACGATGACGAGGACAGGCACATGGGTTATGGGGGAACCGAAGGCTCGTAGGCTGCGTCCTCAGAATTCAGAGAGCGTGCATGGTAATGTTAGAAGAGCTTTGGGTTAAATGGACGAAGGTGTTCAGAGCGAGTTGGCTGTTGTTCTCGAATTACATTTTTGCAAGGTACTACTGAGAAGACGACATATGACAAAAGATTTTTAAAGATATAGCATATCCGAACCACCGACCCAACCATTATCATGCAAGGTTGGCTTGACAAGTCAAGCCGAACAAGCAATCTGAATAACAGCTAGATGATACACTGGGAATCAATAAGGGTACTTAGACGTTCGCGTTTGATCTGGTCATCGACTCTGACACTCCTTCTTACCGGATTGTGTTCGCAGCGAAACCAAAAGGTACGAGACCCCTGGGCGCGATAGTTTGTAAGAGGAGCAACACGGGAAGAGGAGGATGACGCCGCATGAGGAAAAGCTTTCATTGTGGCGAGCGCATGATAGGTATTTATGGAATCAAACGTCAGGGGCCGAATTGTGGGCGGATCTTGAGTGTCACTCGATCACTTGTGACATGTCACCAGAACACGTGCCCGAGATTGCGCACTGATGCGTCCGTCGGCTTCTTCCTCATGTGTACTTCTTGAGTCACACTCACGAGTGTCCAGCAACCGCCAGGCCAGGTTCTACATTGATGGTGTTCAGAACGGGAATGAACAGAAAGATAGAAAAAGCGAAGGGGCAGGCGGATGATGTAAACACAACGACCCTATCTTGAGAGGGACTAATGGGAGTAATGGGACAATGCTATGGATACTTCTTACACCACTGGTGAAGAACGTCTTCTTCCGAGTGTTGACTTTTCATTTGGCATGCACCCAGAAAGTCTATAAGATGTGTCTATCAATGTCTTGTTTATTCTGCGGGTTTGTGAATCACATGAACAGCTGTAATTATTGCTTAATACATTCACAGCACATACAAGCTCATATCTCGGGACTAGCATTTTCACATCATACCTGTTGTGATGCAGGTTGGATATCTTTTTCGAAGCAATGATCATGCTGACGGAACTCATTTTTTCTGTGGATCAGAGAGCAAGCTTCATGGAAATTGTGCCAATGAGGCAGACATCATAGAATGAAATCTAACAGAAGTTTGAATCTGGAGCATCGACTAAAAGGATGTCTTTGCTTTAATGAGACATGAAAATGTAACGGGAATGAACGAAGCCACGAAATTGCACGTTTTGACAACAGATAATTCCAAAGTGATGGATGAGGGTTTTTTTACATCACCAGAAACATCATAGATCAAAGTGAATCGACTGTATCATTTTATGGAAACACACTTAGGAGACCAACACCTGGGATACATCGCACATCCTTATCAGATCATTAGCTATGGAAGGAACATAATATATTTGATGTTGCCATGAAGCGGGAAGACTTACATTGAGAGTGTGAATTTTAAAACACTATAGAAGAATTATCGACGACCGCCCTCTTCCCTATAAGCCGTTTGCAATTGATCAATGGTCATTTTGGCAGGCAGGACACGTGAAGGATTGAGCAATTGGACAGCTGCTCTCCAAGGGTCTCTTCTGTGGCCCGGAGGGCAGAGGAATTCACCTCTTTTACTCTTGTTGTAGAACAAACGATACCGTCCGAGCTCCTCATGGTCAATAGGTTTACCATCAATATAATACTTTCTGTATAGATATAGAAGGTCAGGCTTGTGAAGGTCCCAATAAATGACGAGTCTCGGTATGTGATTCTGAAGCTTGTATCGCATATATTCCATGGTACCTGGCTTCATATGTGGCGCTGATGGTGAATGATATTCTTGGACCCTATTTGTCTGAAAGATATGAGAGTCAGACTTGTGAAAAGTGATATAGTCATTGTTATGACCAACTCTTTGTCTGGCGTGTGCTTCAAAACGATCAAAATTTTCTTGCGCTAGTCTCTGAAGAGCCCTGGCACCCTCCTGTGATGCCCGTACACGAAGTAGTTGTCCCTCGTGGCTTGGACTGGCTTTCGTTGGGCCAGGGATTTCGGGAGTCCTTATTTTTGGACGCGATGGCATCGGTTTCTGGTCTAGCTTTGTGCGTAGATGAGGTCCAGTGGGGGGATTCTGCGCTGCGCAACTTGATGCCACTTGTTCTTCGTATACCTGTACAACTACTGAAGGATCTTTTGTGGATAAGAAGTCGGATAAATCTCGGCGAAGAGAAGAACACGGAGGATAAGTCGCTTGTCTAGGCGTGGTACGTACCGTCATTATTCGAAGCAGACTTTAATTCCTTCTTGATATTGGGCTTGACTTCGTTTGAAATGTAATTCTTCACATCCTTGTCTACATTCGGCTTCACATCCTTCTGGGAATCAAAGACCTCTGGAGAACCACCGACAGTTTCTTCTCTCGCTCCCGGGGAACCGTTTGCCGTGCTCGGCCCTGGCATACTAGAGGAAGATATTTGCGGAGACATACTAGGCGCATTAGCATCTTCTCGAGGGGTTCGCCAAGATTGGCATCTTTCAACACTTTTTGACTCGGTCGTGACATAAAATGTGGAAATACGATGTTCCGACTGCAAGGGGGACAAGTGCAAGCGCGTCTAGAAAAGAGTGAAAAGTCAATTGGTAGGATCATAGTAAGGGAGAAATAGCGCACCTGAGATCCATCATGAGACACTTGTTCACGCACTTGATTGGTCACTAAAGAAGCGCCCGATGCGTTTTCCTTAGTGGCCGCATTCGATGAACTCGAGATTGTGGTCTGACCTGAAAACGGTGAAGTTTTTGGAATCAGCGTTGGCCAAAAGTTTGGGACAGCAATGCACATGCGACTCTATGGATTTACATGTCTTGGAAGAGCGATCGCATTTGGCGACTCTTGGAAGGTCGCGCCCAGGTTTGAGCGCCGATGAGTCGGAAATTTCATCCACCCAAGGGTTGAAGAAGAGTGATGTAGGCGGAGATAGTTCGACGTGCGATGGTAACAAAGGCTGATTATTTGTCTGAGATTGTTTCAATGAGGTTGAACGAGTTAAGAGTTGCTTCTCTTGTGGAGAAAGGCTGTCCACATCCTCGAGCGCTGGGTTGGCTGGACCCACTGCTGAAGAAACAGCCTCTTGATTAGAGTGGAATGCGGTCTTGAGGTGGGCAAGAACCTCGTCCAAAGTCGCCAAAGATTCTTCGTGAATTAATTTCTCTTTCAAGGACTGATGACTTGATGGAAACATGGACAGAACAAACATCCGGCATTGTACGCTGTCCGTGGCCTGTCCAGCTGCTTCAAGTTGAGTGACAGCAGCGGAAAGATTTACAAGAAGGTTCGGGCTTTCCAGGTCCATTCCGCATTCATAGAATTGACTCCAAGCTTTGTTCACTCGAAGTGGATTCACGTCTCCGTATCTTCAATCACAGGGGGGAAAATAGAAGCTCGCATAGATGTGAGCAGATAAAGTTTGGAGGTCTCTCCAAGATTGTTTCCAGTTTGTTTCCAATTTTCTTCCAATTTTCCTCCAGTTCTCTTTCAGATCATCATCTGATTAAATTGTCAGCATGGCCTGAGCAGATGATTTAGGCCTTCCTCAGGCTTTATCCCTTAGCCAAGAAGCCTGAGGGAGGGCTAGCTCATCTGCTCAGGTCATGTCGGGCCCTCCAATGCTCAGCCTGCACAGTCAAGTGACCAAATGTGATTGAGCGGTGAGAGACCCAACCAAACGTGTGAAACACAATGGGAACCATCCCTTTGGATAATTGTGATCCCAGGAATGCCACTGAGGACTAGGTGAGCAGCCCCTCAGCTAATACTTGGTGGCATCCTTTGGATGCTTCTGATCCCAGGAATGCCACTGAGGACTAGGTGAGCAGCCCCTCAGCTAATACTTGGTGGCATCCTTTGGATGCTTCTGATCCCAGGAATGCCACTGAGGACTAGGTGAGCAGCCCCTCAGCTAATACTTGGTGGCATCCTTTGGATGCTTCTGATCCCAGGAATGCCACTGAGGACTAGGTGAGTAGCCCCTCAGCTAATACTCGGTGACATCGTTTGGATGCTTCTGATCCCAGGAATGCCACTGAGGACTAGCTGAGCAGCCCCTCAGCCAATACTCAGTGACATCCTTTGGATGCTTCTGATCCCAGGAATGCCACTGAGGACTAGGTGAGCAGCCCCTCAGCTAATACTTGGTGGCATCCTTTGGATGCTTCTGATCCCAGGAATGCCACTGAGGACTAGGTGAGCAGCCCCTCAGCTAATACTTGGTGGCATCCTTTGGATGCTTCTGATCCCAGGAATGCCACTGAGGACTAGGTGAGCAGCCCCTCAGCTAATACTTGGTGGCATCCTTTGGATGCTTCTGATCCCAGGAATGCCACTGAGGACTAGGTGAGTAGCCCCTCAGCTAATACTCGGTGACATCGTTTGGATGCTTCTGATCCCAGGAATGCCACTGAGGACTAGGTGAGCAGCCCCTCAGCTAATACTTGGTGACATCCTTTGGATCCTCTTGATCCCAGGAATACCACTGAGGACTAGCTGAGCAGCTGCACTGAACTGAGCATCCCCTCGGCCAATACTGAGTGGAATTCTTTGGATAATTCCAATCCCAGGAATGCCACTTAGGACTAGCTGAGCGGCCCCTCAGCCAATACTCAGTGACATCCTTTGGACCCTTCTGAGGGTGATTCTGAGTATACAGTGATGTGTCAGCTGGGTCCTGAGCACGCATCCATGCTCAAGAAAGGCTCACCCGAGATGAAGATGAGCATGCTTTAGCAAACTCAAGCAATACCTAAGTATTACAGGCTGAGCACGTTGGCACCACCAAAATGGTGAATTGAAAGAATCTGAAGGAAATTGAAACATTTTTGGAGTTATCAGGAAGGTACCCTCTGCTCACATCTATGTGAGCTTTCATTTTTCCCCCTGTGGATAGAGATGTATCCAGAGTTGCTGCACTGATTTTTGGAGAGCAGGGTTGCTGATGACCATTTGAGCGTCGCAATTATGAAGTTGTCCCATGATGATATTAAAAGCTTTGTGATCCTTTGTCCAAATCTGATGGCCACTTTCTAATGGTGTACTCTCGATGGGGGGAGCTGCAATGTCCGTGACGACTCCTAGCAGATCAGCTTCTTCAAGCAAAGTCTGAGTTCTGGAACGCCAAACCGGGTAGGAGTGCTTGCTCAATGGCTGAGCAGGTACGTATACATAGACCGTATTGATATCCATGATGGTGTGGCAGTCGCAACGAGTAATATTTTTAGTAAGCTTGTATCTCCAGAATGAGAATCAGATGAATTATTTGAAAGTGAAAGCCTAGGGAGGAAGCAAATTTTGAAAAAATCACAGCAACAATGGACCAGCTGCGCTTTTTTGCGCTTCGGGCCTGGCAGCTGGAGCGCAGCTGAAATACGCTGCGAGAATTTTCAATTTGCTGCAGCGCAGCTTCTAAACGCTGTGTTCCAAGGCGCAGCGCAGCATTTACATGCCTCATTCTGAAACTCCAAGCTGCAGCGCAGCGCCCTGAAACGACCGCTGCAGCTTTTCAGCGCGCTGCAGTTGCTTACCTCATCAGAGAGTCACAAAACACAAAAAAAATTATTATTGCAATTTGAAACCAAAGATGCAAAAAACATCATAAATAGTCTTTTTCTCAAACACAAACAGAAGCAAAAGCAAAAGATAGAAAAGAGGTTTTTCTAAAAATGGTGAACAAAATCGCAAAAAAGAAGTTCATTTTTTCATGGTAAACAAAGATAGAAAAACACATCGACAAAAGGGACCCTTGGGAGTCTTATACTCTAGATTACGAATTCAAAAAAATTGGTTCACCTAAGCAAATCTTCTGATCAACTTGATGCTGAAGTCGTAACCCTTTCCTATCCAAAGATCTGCCTCTACTTCTGACATCACCATCACCAAACTGGTGATCCAATAGATCTTCATCATTAGTAGTAGAAAGAGAAGGATAAACCAAAGATAAAATATGTTGTGAAGGTTTTTGATTATGATTTTGATGTGGATTAGGTTTACATAAGAATTGATTTGATAAAGATCTTGCAAATCCAGTCAAATTGTATGAATGAATTGGATGAATCAAGTCGATCCTTGATTTTCCAGTTTCTATTTCAATTAGATGATGATGATCATGATCATGTTGGATCGATTGGATAGTTTTGTTTGATGATATGTTGATTAGTATTACTTAGATAATGATGGCTTCTTTTTTTGATTCTGCTTTACTTGATGATGATTTTGATGGGGTTTGATCTTTCAAATATGATAAACATGTCAGAAGTTCCAGAATCGAGTTAGATGGCTTCAATCAGTGGGTTGAAAAGTAGAGAGTCAATTGAGGATGATTCTTGTGAACTTTTTTGACTGTGTTGTGAGTCTGATTTTGCTTTTTCAAGATTTGAATGTCATTCAAGATTCACCCAATTGTTCAAGTTGATAGTCTTGACTTGGAGAAGTTTATATAAGTTGATGATGGTGTTTGGATTGATTGAGAAAGCAATAAAAATTGAAATCCGACTTGCAAACTGACTGCTTTGAGTCATAGATGGCAAAGAGAAGATTGTGACTTGATTGTTTGGTCCAACAGTCACACGTAGTCCTGAATTTATCGGACCTTGAGCGACAGTCAATAGCTTGATTTGAATCAAATGACCTTTGCATGGTTCCTAAGTTGCACACCAAGAGTAAGATAATCGAATTTCATGTGATTGATGTGTATGCTTCAAACAATTTGAATGTTGTTGAAGAAGTTGGTAAAGTTGAATCTTGATTTTGATCATAAAGCATAGTCAATGAAACTCTTGATGCTGTTGATTGCTGAGCTGGAATTTCAAGTTTGGACTCTTTACCACAATTACCCGCTGACACACTTTTTAGCGGGTCAGCGGTCCGAAGCGCAGCTTGTGCAGCGGTTGGGGCCAGCTGCACAGCTGGAGCGCAGCGGGCCAAAACAATTGGCTTTTGGCTGGTCCGTCAGCGCAGCTCACTTGAGCTGCGCTTCTGGGCCTCAGAAGCGCGGCGGCCCGGCGCTGCGCAGCAGCTGGCAGCGGCTGCCTGCAGCGCAACTGGTCCAACATTGATCACAGGCCAAACGAAGAGTGATCAACATAAACTACAAAGGTAAAATGATTCCTTTCAAAAAAGACCCTATGTATTCAACTGAACATACCTCATGCATCCAGCTGAGTACTTACTTGATTACCCTCTTGATTACTAGGTTTCATGTCCAGTCAGGCTCAGCTCCAATGTGGCTCACGCAGCTATCTCAATAAAGGGTCTCACTCCGATCAGCATCTGTTGTAGAGGTCCGCATTAAATGGGGAGTATTTAGAAAAGAATAAGAGCAGAACAAGTGAGCTCAGAACGTACAAAGCAGGACTTGACATGTATCCTCTACATAGCCTGCTGAGCACTTCCTGTCGTGCGGTTTGAAGACCTCATTTGCCCATGTATGTACACATCCAGACGACATTACACACTACTTCTTTCCCATCAATTCTTTCTGTTTGTCCCAAATCCTCGCTGCCTCTTGAAACGATCGGGTTCATGATCAGCCTTGCAGACAATTGTCATACTATGGGGAATGGGTCTGGGCCTAGGTTGCTGCTGCAACGTGGGTTTTTTACGCTTAACTGCCATGAGGCAAGTCTATTAGCGTGCATGTGAAATGAAAAAAGATGACGCGTAGTGAGACTGAGAAATGAAGAAAAGCGTGAAAAAACATGACGATGACCTGAGCAGAAATGAGAGCATGTAGTTCAACCACCCTCGTAGGGAGATGAGTTGGTGATGGTATTGATAGAGTGGTGATGTCGAAACCATTAAATGGTTGAGTGGTGGGAGAACTCTCTCTTGTTTCTGTTGGCATCAATCATGGGCGCATTCGTAGAATGGTGTTAGTGGTACGTGCAATTTTGTGCATGGAAGTCGTGGACATTCCGTACCTTGGAAGGTGACTGCTTGAGTCATTGCATTCCGTTAGGGGATCGATGATCGCGCCCTATGAAAGATACCTGGGACGGGTACTTTGTCAACAATAGAGTGTGGGACGGTTATTGTAGGTAACTCACCCTATGTTGCCGTTGACTGCGGCGGTCACTACGGGTTACGGCTTTGTCATTAGTCCACGGCTGTGGAACAGAAAGTCCGTATGAAGAAGAATGTCAGCGGCTGCTGAGACTCTGGTAGCGAGAGCTATGGTAGGTGAGCTGGGAGACAACAGGGTGCTTACGGGAGCGGCTCCTGGAAACTCGACCTGCTTTCCTATGGACATTCCTTCGCTTTGGGCGAATTTTTGAGCGTTGTTGAGGTTTAGGAGGGGGTGTGTCCTGATGTACGTCTCGAAAGCGTTGGAAGACCAGCGGCTGATCTGTCGGATCGTGTTTAGTTTCATGCCACTTTGGGCAAACGCTGTCGCGCCTCCAGCTCGTAGAGAGTGCCCAGTCCGGGTGCGTTCGAATAGAACTTGCAGACGCGAGATGAACCAGGTCCTGGTCGGTTGGGAACCGTCTTCCCGAACGAGCAGCAACGGTTCGCAGGGGAAGCAACGGTCACGCCAGACCGTGTAGTAGAGTAGTGTTTTCACCGGACAGTAGGGGTCTTTCGGACGGTTGGTTATCGAGACCTCGGCTCCTGAATAGCAGTTGTCTGCTTTTTGGAATGGTAAGTTGTAGCAGGCCACCGATCCGCACAGCGAGAAGACTAGTGACGATTGTCGAATCGATTTTCGGCAGTTTTGGAGTTTTTCTGAGTCAGGGATAGTTAGTTCCCCCAGTCTGTGGAGGCCAGAGAATCCCAGAGCTACGATAGTGTTGAACAGAGCGTCGTTGAAGGTCGATTTGTAGAATTCGGCGCAGGTTTTTACGTCTCTGAGCGTCATGGCGTTCGCGCGAGTTGATGGGAGCAAGAACCCCTTGTAGCAGCCTTGGAGGAATTTTTTGACTCTTGAGGAGTTGCGTGCTGTGTCTACAAATGGGAAATCGGCTCTCATGACGTGAGCGATTCCCGTGAGGTATTTGCTGACCGTCGTCGGTCGCAATTCTCTGGAGACTGATGATACGAAGTGAGCGAGGGTTGTTTCGTCGGGGTACAGTTTATATTTTTCGTCGGTGCAGAATTTTTGGAATCGTCGGTAACCAGATTGGTATTTCGACTGGGTGTTTGGGTCAAGCGAGTTTTCGATGTCCGTTTTGTTGTTGGTTTCGTTTTCCTCGAATCTTAGTGCCGCCTTGCGGCAGCTTTTGGTTTTGCCCATCTTGGCGGAAATGAAAAGGAAGAAGAAACAACCAGAGAAATAATTTTTTGAGATTTTATATTTGGTTTTTGAATCTTTTTGATAGAAAAAAGGAATTGACAGGCGAAGAAACAGAGAGAAAAAATGGAGAATTCCTAATTGGACGGTTACTAGATGAGAGAGAGGAATGATCGGCTTCCTGATCCTCCTACTAGCAAAAAGGGAGGAGGTTCGATGTTGATGACTGATAGGTTTGGGGCTAGGAGTTTAGTCCGGTCAGTGTTGTTTCTTGAGATGGCGTCGGCTATGCGGTTATCATCTGCCGAGACGTGACAAACTTTAACGTCGATCGAGTTCTTTAGCATTAGGTCAACCGCGTATCTAAAGATGATCCGGATTGACGGGATTGGCTTATGTGAGCTGAATAGATGCGAAACGGATTGGTTGTCGGTGAAAATCAGGGCTTTTTTTGCTTTGAGACCGACAGCGAGTTGAATCGCTAGCGTCACCGCTAGCAATTTGGCCCAGTAAATGTCACGGGCTGGGGGAGGTAGGGTGTGACTCCATCCTTTCGCCGTCGCTGGTCGCCATATCCCCAGGCCATGGGGGCAAGCATCACAGAAAAACACGCAGTCAGCTGCCCGCAGTGGCCAGTGGAGCGTTTTCAGAATGAGGCGGCCTTGCCATGCTTCCAGAGCATCGGCTAGCCAATTCAAGTCTTCTTTGTTGGTTCTGTTCAGCGGGATGTGAGCGCGTCTCATCGTTTTTCCCGATGTTTTGTCCCATGCTGATTGCAAGGACCATCTTCCCAAAGGGAAGATATTTAGGGCCCAGTTTGCCCATCCAGTGAGGCGTTGCCATTCCACCAGAGGGTGGGATATTTTAGAGGTAAAGGAGCGAAGAGCCTTTATCAATTCTGTCCTTTTCTTTTCTGACAGGGAAATTGACAGGTCGTGACAGCTGATCGTATGGCCGATGATTTCGAGGACTGGGCCTGATAGTTGTTTTTCCCAGGCCCAAGGGATTCCAATGTATTCAAAGACGGAAAGGAATTTTGCCTGATCCAAGGGGATCCTTTGGCCTTTAAAGAGGACGATGTCTGAGGCTGGGCTTGCGCCCCAAGAGTCGTCCATGTAAGAGTTTAAACTTTTGATGCCAAACTTTTTCGATGCTATCCATAAGACTAGGGAGAAGAATGAGCACCACAGTTTTGGGGAACTGGAGCATCCAAAATTCACTCTCCTGTCTGCATGGAATGCTTTTCCTACCCGCACAATTTGTCGGATTTGCCATTGTCTGGACACAGGCAGGATTCGAAATGCGCCATCCACGTCTGATTTCCACAGGATCATGACCTGATTGGATTGGTCGTGAAAGACAAGCACTGGTATGAAGGATGCTATAGAGTCGAGATCTATTTTGATTTGGTTTTTATCGATTAGGTCGTTTGGAGATGGATGTCCAAAGGACATGTTCGTGCACGTTCGGATTTTTCCCGAGTTTGGGTTGGTTGCCAAGCAAAGCGGGGACACTTTCAGGCCCGGAAGCAGAGTGTAGAAGGGAGGTGAGTATCTACCCAGCTGCACCTCTTTGTCTCTGGCTTTTTCAAGGATTTATTCCTCGTGCTTGCCTGAAACGTGGTTTTTGGGTTTGGTGATTTCGTTGGAGGGTAGGGATGATATGGGCCAGAAGCCCTCGGATAGTCCTTTTAGAATTGAGTCTACAAAAGGACGGTTTGGGTGGTCGTAGAGAAGGTTTGATAGGTTTTTGGTATTTATCGGGGAATCGATTGAGAACAGGTCCGGCCTGCGTTCAATGGCATAGGCTGCCAGTGGGTCAGAGGAGAGTGGGGGAGCTGATGGTAAAGGCGCAGCCTTTTGCGAGGATTCGACTGATGCTGAGAACCCGTCTGAAAATTCATCGATTTCGAGTCCTCGTAGGTATTTTCGTGCACTAGGCTCATCGGTGTTCTCGGCTTCCTTGATGAGCGCCATCACATCCAACCTTGTTGCAGACATTGTGGATTCTGTCGCAGTCACGGTCTGAGTTGGGGCAAACACCAAGGTTCCAGTTGTTACAAATCTGATCAGCAATCGGAACATTTTTTGCAGGTTTGACGTCGTAGTTCGGTTTCTTTCGGCGCCCTTTGGATTTTTTGGGCTGTGCCGTCCGAGAGGAAGGTGCATGAGAAGCTTCTGTTTCCACAGCGGGCCGAGCAGTTGGGTTTGCCGTTGAGGTTTGGTGAGCCCGAGAAAAACGGCTAGCGGCGCTATAAAGGACTCGGTTGTCGATTCCTCGCAGGCTGTCGTGAGTGTAGTCACCCCACACCAGCCAGGGTCGTGAGGAGAATTCTTTTCGAAGTTCGACGTCGAAATCTCTGACGTCCTCCCAGTTGACCTTAGCTTGAAACAGGCCTGGTAATCCGAAAATGTAATCGAAATATTTTTTGATTGAATTTGCCGCCGGAGGGTATGCAGCGATGTAAGCGTGACGTAAGACCCCCATGAGGTCCTTCCAGTGGTTGTTGTCACTGATGTCTTTTGGGGTTGCCCCATTGATGCTTTTGAGCTTCCCGGAATCGTTGACTTTGAGAAAGGATTCCGAAGGGTTGGATGATGAGACCTCGCCGTAGAGTTTTCTGAGGTCGACGAAGTTGTACTCGAGCAGGTCTCTTGTAAGTGAGTTGTGCCAGTTGCCTGGTTTATTTCCACACGAGTTAAATAGCGACACGTATTTCTTAATATTGGACTTGTATAGAAGTGTGATTTTCTGAACTTCTCGAGAGAGAGGAGTGAAAGCTTCGGGGGAGAGGTGCTCGTTGTGAGCCAAGAATGGAGCAACCCCGTCCTCGTCCTCTCCGTCTGAACCAGAGGTGGCTGGTGCCCCAGAGACAGCTGGTGCTGGATTGGGAGGAGGTGAGAAACCATCACTCGTTGATGAGTCCGATGAGGACGAAGGAGGAGAAGGGTGTCTCCTTTTTGTTGATTTCTTGGCGTCTTTTGTCGCCGGCTCTCTAGGTAGCGTAGATGATTTTGGAGCCATACGATCGAACAGACTGCCCTCCACCAAAGTGGTTTGTGGTTGCGTGGACATGCCCACTGCTGGCTGGCTAGCTGGGCCCACACGGAGGGACAGAGGCACCACGGATGTGGTGAAATTCCTCTTCTCTGCACCCGTTTTAGAGCGCTTTCGTGGTCGGCGGCGGTTTTTTCCTTTTGTTGACGAAGGAGGAGGGTCGGATGAGGGAAGTTTTGGGTCAAACGGAGGCGGCGGAGGTGATTCAGACGGCGGCGGCATAGTGTGATGTGAACCGCCTGCCGGAAACATGGATGCGTCTTTGATGTCGTCGGGGAAGCCGTCTTTGGTTTTGATCCCGGCCGGCATTCGTTTGCCGACAAAACCTCTCGGTGGCCGGTAGTACTCCGCCTCAAAAGGGGATTTGACCTTTCTGCTAAGGACGATGGGTGGGACACCCATTGGGTCGGCGTTTTCCGGCATTTCATCGAGAGTTCTATATTCGATGCGTCAATGCTTGTGGTCGAGGGCAATTGCCACTCGTGCGACCGCAGACCAGTGATAAAGGAAGTCTGCCGCTCTCGGATCATACACTTGTGCGACTTGAGAGCGGAGCTCGACCATGCTGACATGGGAGCTCCCGCCCTTGACACGGTAGTTCTCGAGAATTGCGTCAATTGATTTATAGCGATCATTATGAGAGTTTGCCTCTGCGATCATAGCCTTGTTAACGATGAGTTTAGGTAAAAAAAAAAAAAAAAAAGAGGAGATTTTTTACGAGGAACTAAGAAGTTTTCGCTAAAACGGATTTGTTTCTACGATTTCAAACGAAAACACTAATAGTTTTACGAAGATGAAAAAACGACAAGACTAATGGGAGTAAGGTCGCGGAGACACGAAATGAAGACTTTTGATAAAAAGATTTTGATGGGGAAAAAAGACCTCTTGATGGAAAACGTGCGTTTATCTTATAGGGATCTTTTCCTTCAACCTATAACGTCCATCCACTATTGTGTGCGATAAGATTGATCACGTATGGAGGACGGCCGTTTAGGTTGAGACCCGCGGGCTTTGCTACCCGAAGCCGTTGTCTACCCATTCCCGTGTGTCAATACACGTACCAACTCCCAACCCTTGAATATGCAAGTGAGCTGATTGTCGTAAGAAAATGGAGGAACTATATAGACATCGCATCGCCTAGCTTTACGCCTCATCGGTCGCACGTTCGATGACTTCATTATCTGTCTGCTTCCCGTGGGTTGTAGCTGGCTATCAGCATCGCAGAATCTTGTGACTCGAGGCTCTTTCTAGTGGCACTATTTCTTCAGCAGAAACTCAAATGGCACTCTCGACTCGGTATCAGGTTTGGCAACTTATTCATTCACACTTATCTGTCAATCTAGATTCATCCTATATGCTAGTATGTTCAAGTTTCTGTAGTAATCATAAATAGTCAATTCAGTAGCATACCATCCACTCAAATAAGAGCGATCAACAGTTGAAAACAGTATCAGTGCCTCTCAATACATTGAAGAAACCCATTAGGAGTTCTGATACTGATGCTTGTCCTTGAATATAATACTTTTTGATACATCACTGTGTAGACTGGTGGTGATTCTGAGAGTTGTGTGTTGATTCTTCTTGTTTAAGCTCTCACTGCATCGGATGATTTAGTCTTCAGGAGAAAATAACCAAATATGGTGTGTACGATGTGGGCAAATATCTTGGGATGAGGTGACAAATGTATTACACGATGCCATGGAAAATATGAGAGAAAGATAGGATGTAAGACAAGACTCATTTTTTGATTATTCAGATTCAGAATGTATAGCTGTCTATTCCTGCACTGGCTCATGAAAGTAAGAAGTAAGAGATCTCAGAGAATATAAGTTATCTTCTTGACTTGATGCATGGTTCACAGTGACAACAGCTGGCCATGGCTCCAATATTTTGATGATGCCTCTAGGAGATCTTCAGTCTCGCACCTGCTGCATCTGCGGCTGGGTGGTTGATGATTATCAAGCTTGAAGAGCTCATATTTTCTGGGTAGCCTTCCTGGAAATAACAAAGCAATTCTCATGAATATTTTAAAACAGTGATTGAGAACTATTGGCGTAGACAAAACTGTAGATATGGGTATTGATAGTGTTCCCAGAGCCTGAGAAGGTACACTCTATTCCATTTCCGGGAGGTGGTAAAGCTAGAGGTGCGGATAGAGGAAGGAAGGAGCTGTGACAGGTTGTTCACAGATGTCACAGCTCTCCTGAGTTTTGGAGCGGTGGAGTTGGAGAACTTCAGAGAATTTCACCACTTCACTCCACCACTCGCAATCCTTCCGTAATCCGCACTCTCTCAAGATCTTCATATTACTCAGCTTATAGATCTTTTTTGCTTAAAAATTTTGTTTCTTGTTTAAAAGAAAAATAGGACAACAACATTCTCATTTAGACAAAAGCCTTGATATCAAGAAAAAAACAAAAGAAAGAAAATCATTTAAAAAGTTTTTGTGTACTGTCTGAATGTGGCGACAACTCAAGGCAAAGAAAGATAACATCAATTATAAGTCACCGAGTATGATCCAAGCTATGAAGAAAGCAGAAGAGAAGAGGAGAGCGGACGCAGCGAAAGCATTGGAGCAAGCTGAAAAACGGAAGAAGAGGGCAGAGTCGAGGATTCCACCTCAGGAGCTTCAAAACCAGGAGGAGGTCAGAACGGTTGCGGCGGAAGCGATGGTGGTCGATTCAGGGACTGGTGTTGAGGAGAACAGGGGAGATCGGGACGAGGAAGTAGACGAACTAGACGGTGGCCATACCCCAAAGGGCCAAGACGGTGAAGATTCATCAGACGAAGGATCCTCCAGCTCGTCAGACGAAGACCCAGACTCCTTCTTGTACGGACAGGAGATACCGATTCCGAAACCCAGCAAGGAAAGACCTGATAAAGGGAAGGCGAGGAAAGTTTCGTCAGACAAGTACTCAGAGGAAGAAGGCGGTGAGAAGGTCAAGAGAGAAGGGGTGAGAGTGCCGGGTGAACTCATTGAGAAAAACCAACGTGAGTAGGAGTTTCTTGATAAAGGGTCTGGCACTGCGGCTGGTCAAGGGGGGAAGGTCCTTGTTGCAGCGTCTCGTACGCTCCAAGAGAAGGGAAAGCCTGAAGGGCCAACTTTGCTGTGACCTCTTGGCACGCAGAAATCCTATTCTTGAAGACTCATAGAGTCAAGCTCCAGGGGATAGGCCTTTTGGTTTCCTCATGTAGTAGCGTTCATGATGGGTCAGCTCCAGATGGTGTCGTAGCTGTTGAAAGATTGGGGACTGACGGAGTTTGAATTGGCTGGTTGCATTTCAATAGGATTCCCACTAGGACCTCCCAAGGGTGACACTCAGGTGCCAGGACCGTCGGGTAAACCCGCTCAAAAATCCTTGATGGATAGGTTGGTAGGGCCGGTACAATCTGGCCAGACGAGAGATGTGAGGAGATTGAGGAAGGAGATTGATTCATTTGAGCTGGAGAAAGAGGAGGTGGCGGAGCAGAAGAGGAAGAGGGTTAAGGAGGAGAAACGGAGGGAGAAGGAAGGAGAAAAGAGAAGGAAGAAGGGGAGGGGTAGTAAAGGAAAGAAAGAGAAGTCTAAAGAGAAGTCTAATAAGAAAAGGAAACACTCGAACCCTTCTTCTGACGATGATTCTTCATCTTCATCCTCGGACCAAAGTGATGGAGAATTGGAGGACTCCAATTTTGGTCGTTCTTCATCTTCTGCGTTGGAAAGCGACTCCTCAGACGGCTCGGTACTCTCGAAGGAGAGTAAGAAGAAAGGAGGAAAGGACAAACCGATTGCCTTCGCCTTCAAGTCCTTATCCGGCTTCGACCTCCCTGATTTACCTATTCAGTGGGAGAAGAATTTTCGCCGGATGAAATACTTTGTCCCTCTCTCGGTATTCGATGCGTCCTACATTGACGCGTACTGGACGACCTGCAAGACCAAGGCGGGGAAGTTGAAATGGGATAGTTACATGCAGTCGCGTGAAGAGGTGGAACGTCAGATGACGTATGGAGAATTCATTCTTGCTTGCAATCTTGAATTCAGGTATGCGACCAAAAGGTACAAGTACACCAATTATGCTAGATACGTAGAGAGTCACAAGGCAATCGTCAGCAAAATGGCGAGAAAGCATAAGTGCTGGATGGTTGGTCTTCGATACCACTTAGCGGTCAGGGCAGTGACCTTCCGAGTTAGGACGGATCGTACGGCTAGTGGGAAGAAGAAGAAGGCAGACATGGTAATTCTCCCGGATGGACTTCAGCAGGAGGCTGAAGATGATGCCAGGTGGGACGCTCAGACAGCCGGAGACTTGAAATGCAAGGGTAATCCGTATGCTGTGGGGCAACCAAAATTTGGTTTTGATTTCGTTACTGGCCAAGAAGTGGAGTCCGCGGCAAAGGCAAAGTCTAAGACCTTTTCGGACGATTCCAACGAGAATGGTGGATCTCGTCAAGGGTGGAGGCAGGCCAAGAAGCAACGAGGCGGCAATAGAGGCCGTTCGAACTTCTCAAAGCCATACTTCCTGCAGAGCGTACCGAGTACCAGTGCCGTCCAGTCTCAAAAGAGAGATTCCGGTGGTGGGAAAGAGTGGGTTGCCTTGGGGCAACAGCACGCGAGTAATGTGGCTTCCGGCCCGAGTAGAGCGGCAAAGAAGAACCCAAAGAGCTTTAGTTCAAATGAACGGTGAGTCTTGACTGAGATGATTTCTCGAGAGCTAGTGGACTCTGACGCTTGGTTTCTGGTTCATGGTGTGATGTCGGGTTTCGGTCGGTTGATGGTGTGGTTTGATTTGGGGGGGGAAATGCGTCCGGGGTCGTCTTCTTGTTATTTGGGGTGGCTATCTCTGGTACGGTACTTTGGCTCAATAAAAACTGTATAGATAGTACCTAGAGACAGCTATGAATTCTTTCTGAAATCTAAATAATTGGGCCGTGTCTTAGATTTTCTAGAAGTTACCACTTTGAAAATTCCCCGAGAGAGACCTCGAGAGAAGCCCAGGTATTGGTTGAGTGCCCAGTTAGAGATTCAGAGGACCCTCAGTCTGGTTCCTCGGACAGTTCGGATTCCTCAGACGACGAAAGAAAGGACGTTAGTTCAAAGAGCGTTCTCCCATTAAGTCAAAGAAAAACCTACAAGGTTCAGGTGGACGATGTCTGGCCAAGCCCGGTCAAGACTGAGATGAACACTGAGGTGTGGGAAAGGATGATGAGGAAAGTAGGTCTGGAAGATGATATACCGTATATCATCAATGGTTTCCGAGAAGGCTTCTGCCTCGGAATTCCTCAGCATGTGATCGAAGGTGAGAAATGGGTGTCTCCTCCGAACCATGGATCGGCTCTGTATGTAAAAGAGAAGATTGTCAACACGTTGAAGAAGGAAGCTAGGGCAGGGAGGATCATCGGACCCTTCACCCACGAACAAGTCTACGAGAAGTTCGGAATCTTTCGGACGAATCCGATGGGAAGCGCCGTAAATGGTGACGGGTCGGTGAGGCTGATAAATGATCTGTCGTATCCCAAGCGGAAGCCGGCGGGAAGAAGAAAAAAGAAAGGGAAGTTGGCGACAGAGTCAAAGAAGGCGATCCCTTCGGTGAACTCATTTGTTGATAAACGGAACTATAGTACAAATTGGGATGATTTTAAATAGTGGCAAGATTCTTTAGCAACAATCCAGGGGAGTGGGAGGCAGCACTTTTCGACTGGGAAAAAGCTTACCGTCAGCTCCACACTCACCCCTCTCAAAGGAAGTACCTCTGTATCATGGACTTCGAGGGTTGAGTATGGATAGATTTAGCCGTTGGGTTCGGTGGGGTAGCAAGTTGTGGGGTTTTCGGTGCGCCGGCGGAGACTTGGAAGAAGCTGATGATGAGCCTCTTGAACATCCCGATGATTTTCCGCTGGGTGGATGACAATCTCATCCTGCGGAGGCCAGGAGACAAAGTTTCGATGGAGGATGTGACGACCTTGAGTAACTCGCTGGGTGTGAAGACCAACAAGGAAAAGAACCACGATTTCGCCACCGAGCAGAAGTTCCTCGGATTTATTTGGAACGGCAAAGACCATACGGTCAGATTACCCCAACAGAAATTAGACGAAAGATTGAAACAAGTTTTAGAATTCTTGAAACTGGAGGAGATCTGGAGCCAACGTCGAAACCACACCGCCATAGATAGTGGAAGCGCTGCGGAAGCGCTGCGGGACTTCCACTGAAAATAGGGGGTGCGGTCGTAGTGGCTGGTGCACAGCCCTATTTGGAAACCGAAATTTCCTGTAGTGGGTCATGTGCAACGCTCGGGCTTAGATGTAGCATGTCCACGGTCATAGTGGCACACATAGCGAGCGCTATGACCTGTATAACCCCATGGCCGCCACGCCCACACGCCCATACATGTAAGTAGTATCCATTCCCTCTGACCTGTGCCCAAGAAGACATTCTGACTCCATACTCACTCAACCGACTGAATTTACAATTCACCACCCTCAAATGATCACGAGATCATTTTCTAACTCTCTCCCCCACCAATCAATGGGAAGAAGGGTCCTCAAGAACAGAAATGGCCGGATCGATATCACCAAGTAAGTTCAAACTTGATAGGTATAAAAGACATACCTTTGATCAGTTCTATTTCTGACCTTTCCTCCCCTTTATCGAATTCTAGATTCTAGATTTTTTCTTCATTATTTCAATCCGACCATCCATTTCAGCCCTATTCAATTATTCGATTTTGTCCAATCACATCTTATTTACCACCGTTAGATACAAGACCTCAGTTATCTTATCCGACTTTCTCCTTTTTCGATTTTTAGATCCGTTCTTCTTATTTTTCAACGAAACCATTCCAATCTCAACAAAACCACCATTAATCTTATCCACCACTATCTGTTTACTATCACGTTTACCTCAATCATTACTGCTCCCTGTGTAATCATGTCGGAGCGGCCAATTCGAACCAATTCTCGGATTAATTTGGCTCCTTCAACTCGCTCTCTTCGCCCAAGATCTCCTATTCAACCCTCGCCGGGCTTTGTCTTTACCTCAGCGGACTCTCGAAGGTCTCTTCAGCTTGTGTCACCAACTCGTTCTCCAACTCCCGGTCCCTCCAGCACTAACACTCTGTTTGCTCCAATCGATGGACTCTTTCTCGCAAATTCTGAGGAAGATCAAGAAGCGTTCCAACCTCCATCACCTTTAACCAAGAAGTGAGCCAATTGTCAGTCAGATCAAAATGTTGGCAAAAAAAGAAAAAAGGCATCTGTGAGTATATTCATCACATTATCCAGATTGTTTACTTGAACAGGCTTGTATTAATCTTGTTTTATCTATCCATTTGTAGAAGGAGACAGTGCCCGACTGTATTGATCTTGATCAAGACTCAGAAAATGAAATCATACCCAGCAGACCACGGACTGGTATCAGGGCATCTCAACTTGCTCGAGTTAAGGAGCTTCTGAAGTATTTTCATTCTCCAATTTATCCAAATGGCCAGGTGGGTTTTCTACTTTTTTGTATAACAAATTGGAATCTAACTATGAACTTTATTGTTTTTCAGACCTCTGGTGATCCACAACTCTACAAGTGCCGGTGGTGCCAAGGCCGTTTTCTCAAAGGTATGACCAGCTATTATAATCTTTACGGACATCGAGATGGGAGCAAAGGACGGCCAGCTTGCCCCAGGCGAGCTCAAGCGATAGCGGCAGGTGTTGATCTTCCACCCTCCTGGGCGGAGCAGCAACAAGCATTGGAGGCAAAATCTTTGGCCACTCTTGACTCTTTTGTTTCAAAGGACAGGTTCAGCGTTGAACTTCTTAATCTCATTTGTGTTATCTGGGTGATTCGACAAGCTCTGCCATGGGCTCGAATTCAGGATTCCCCCTTGCGAGCTGCCTTTCGATTGTCAAACGTATCGGCGACTCTTCGATCAGCGGTATGGGCTGCAAACGCTGCCAAGCGTCTTCACCATGGGTTGCAACAGACGGTTCTAGAAACCATCAAGGTAAGTTTTCAATGCTAATGATCATGATTCCAACTTTTCTAACTCCTCATCTCAATTTAGAACAACTCGAGTAAGTTCTGCCTCATCCATGATGGCTGGACCACCAGTCGGAGCCGGTATGCATTCATTGGAATGAATGTCACATTCATCGACGATCAGTGGGAGTTCCGGACCATTCATCTTAGTCTTAAACTTGCTGCATGGAACCATTCAGGTGTCTTGCTTGCTCAACCTGTTGGTCGGTACCTCGTCAAACATGGCCTTCACCATAAGATGAGTTTTTATTTTCACTTTGCATCTCATGTTTTCAACTTCAATCTAATTTTTTTTTTGATTTAACTACATGTTAGCCCAAACCACAGATTCGGGCTCGAACAATGCCACGCTTGCTTACGAATTGCAGCGTATGTTTTTGGAGGCTTCCCCTAGCGTTGATTGGCCAGCTTGTCGCATGCAGATCCGCTGCTACGCCCACAAGCTTGCCTTACTTGTGAAGCACGGTCTAGCTTCAATTGGAATCGATACTGGCCACACAAAGCCAACCACCCAACCTTTATTCAACATCCCTACCCCCTCGATTACATTAAATGATGGAAATGATCAATTTGAAGCCGAAGACGACGAAGATTCAGATGTTGACCAAGATGCTGATCGTGCTAGCGAAGCAGACGTTTGCAACGGTGATTCTGGTAGTGAATCTGATAGTAATGTTCTACAATCATCTCACCCCTCTAGTGTCTTGCCTGGATCAAGCAGAGCCAGGCCTGATCTGGTGGTTCAGGCAATCAAGAAGGTACATTTATTTCACCTTATTCTTCTATTTTTTACTCAATCACTTCCTGATCTTCAACGCTGACCTTGATGTGTGTAGATTGATCGTGTGAGCCGCCTCATTGCCCGGCGGCCTTCTCGACGTCTTGAATTCCGTAATCGTGCTAAGGATTTGGGTAGGACCTTGCGTTGTCCCATTCTTGGTGCGTCCAGCAAATGGAATGGTCTACATCAGAGCCGATCAATCGTGGTTGATGGAGCTGAGGTTAGTTTTGTTTCATGATCTCCGTCTAACTTTGAATTTTACTGAGAATGCCTCTTGCTTTCAGGTTATCAATCAGATGTTGGCAAATGATGAAGAAGGTTATTTTGACGAAATATCGATATCAAAGAGTGAATGGTTATGCGCTTCAGCTTTGAATGAGGTTATGGAAGTTAGTATAGTTCTAAACTGTCTCATTTCTTTCAATTATGTATCATACTCGTTTACTGAGACCTAATGACTTGACCAGGTTATTGTATTAGCCACATCCAGAGTGGAGGGTGACCACTCGACAGCAGCCATTCTTCTACTTGACTATCACCGTGTCCGAACTTCACTGGAAAAACTTGGCTTACATACTCCTTACGCCAGTCTCCAAACCATGATTACTAGCATGGTTAATCACCTTCAATCATACAAATCAGAGGCTCTTCAATGCGACGCGATCGTCATTGCCACTGTCCTCAACCCTCGTCTCAGAATGAAGTTCTTCGAACTTCATCATCCAACACAAGTTGCTCATGTTCAAAGAGTTATGGAGCGCGAAATGGACTCTTATTCAACTAAATACCAAGCCAGTCACCCATCTGCACTCGTCATATCTAATCAGCAAGATACTACTGTCACCGACAATGAGTATAATGTCTTTGCTTCAAACACA